TTGGACTCAAGGGATGGAACAGTTTGTAAGTCGTTTGAGTCGATTGCGTTGGTCGTTGGTCGTTTATAAATAATGCTTAGTTCTCAATGGGATTTTATCTAGTTGTTCATTGGCAATATAAGTGATTCATTTATGATATTCAACTGAAAATCAATTTTACTTGTAATAATTTTAATCAGTTTTATGTGCTTACAAATCTTCAAAATTCTCTACTTACCTAATTAAGGACGTCATGAGAACATGATATTTTATTTATTAATGAATCTTAACACCAGTTCTAGACTATTTATTAATTTTCAGAAGTAAGGCTTCTCGTTGGTGATCAATTGAATATTAAAATCCTAAAATTAACTCATCAGGGATGTAATTCCACCCCTTGACACTATTTGTCTACAAACATTATATTCTTTATGTATAAGGTCATGACAAAAAGCTTGTGTAAGGCCTACAGTGGTGAAATGAAAAATATAAAATATTATTTGTGGCTGCATGCACAGAAAATAAAGCGATACAATAATAAACAGGTATAAAATATGGTTAAAAGACGAGGGAAAACAGCAGAAATGTGGACACGTAGCTCGATGGAAATGCACTAAAATTAAAGAAAGTGCTTGGAATGGTTTATGTGAATCTTTGTGTAATATTTTGGAAGAACTCAATAATTTTTTTTTTCAAATTTTTATTTAAAAGTAGTCAAAATTTTGTACAACAAAAAATTTGCAAAAAATCCAACAAAATTTCCAAGTATTCAATTTTTAAAAAACTTACTATTATTATTCTTATTATCATTCAGTTAGTCTACAACAAACCAGCTCGTATGATGATAGAAATGAAGGTCACGGTAAGAAAGTTAAATAAAGGAAATAAAAATAAACAAAATATAAAAATAACTTAGCAAGGGACTAGGGTTGGGATGGGTGTATGGGACTCATTATGAAAAATAACTTTTCATGTAATAGACAATAAAATAAATTGGTCATTAAAAGTAAAATTATGTTTAGCTGAGCGTAATATTAAAACAAGGATGTAAATTAAACTTATATGATGCATATATTATGATAAAAATTATTAATTATAATGCTAAATGACATTCACAATTTCACAATTACACATTTCACATTATGATAACGATAATTATTAGTAATTATTCATAGTAAATCAAATTTGTAGTAAAATAAATCATGATAATAATTACAACAACAAAAGCTACGACATAAGTTGATGCAAGGATTATGGCATTGATCAATTCAATTAAACATGATGACAAAAAAAATAATAATAAAAATTTATGTCTCTAAATACAAGCATAATATACACTTAATTCCTCATTAATAATGGAAAAAATACATTGTCTACCTTTATAGTATCTGCCTACATCAATATTCATGCCATGACATTTCCGCGATGTTATTTTTTTGCTTGTATCGTAAGGCTTGGGGACTTAGAATGTTTTTTGGAATTTTTGAAATTTTAATTTTAACCCTCAAGTTCTTAAAAGAAGGAACTGTAAAAGGTTGGGTACCTTAACTCATGGCAAATCCTTTTGCACCTTCTATTACACTGAACTGAAGTTTCCAAACCTAGAAAATCATTATTATTTTTTCTTATCTTTATTACATCGAAAAATTGAAGATTTTTAATATTTTTTTCTTCATATATATTTTTAAATCTTCCGTTATGATGATGATGTCAATGAAATTCAAGCTGTTAAGAGAATAAAATCAGTGAAGTAAAGGTTCTAAATCATGAAAAAAAAATGATCAATTTAAGTTACAAACATTTATGTTTACAAGCTTATCGAATCATAATAAAATTATTATTGATTCTTGATTTAATATTTTGAACAATTTTCAGCGACATTTTCTTATTATTTTGACATAGATCTTGATTGGATGAGATTAAAAAGTAAGAATGCAAGTAGATGATTGTGCATTGTCAGGTGAATCTGACCTAAATAGATGATTAAAGCTTCAATAAACGTAAAACAAAGATAAAGAGTTCGCTTTAATTCCAACAAAATAAGACTTAAGATTAATAAAAAGAAAATAATTAAAAGCTTTGAATATAAACTTTATGATTTTTAATTAAAGTTTAAATTCTTAGAAAGAAACTTGAATTAATTTCTTGGGAACCATTCACAAATGACGAACACTTCGATAACAAGTTTGAGACTTAAATGATTATTTGATTTTTGATCAAATCTGCTTGACAGAGTCAATAAATTCCGTCTTAATAGAATTGTTGTAGACATCATTACGAAACAGTTCCTATACACGTTCTTAAATTGACAATTTTATTTCTTAAGATTTTTTATCTTCTTTAATTTTATTTTGTTTCTTCTATTTGAGTGATTTCTTCGCTGTTTTCATTTTTGTTTTTTTTCTCAATTCAAGATTGTTGAAATGTTTTCGAATTAATTTGCAAATAAGAGGATTGTTAAGGAAATCAGCAAACTAGAAAAGAATTTCCTGAAATTTGTGAGAAAGTTTGGTTAAAGTTTGAAAAAAATAAAAAGCTCTCAATTGCCTGATTCTAATTAAGTAAACATGTGTTTTCTTCTCAATATCTTAAGTAAATCCAACTTCTTTAAAAATTCACCTATAGTAAAACTGATAAAAATCATGTAATGAAGAAATTTAATCAAATTTCTTATTCTTGATCAAAATCAAAAAGTCTTTCTCCGACAAAAAAATTGCGTAAAGAAGAAAATATTTAAAAACTTACCTCTTCGCCCTTTAGAGGTGCTTGAATCTTTCTTTTCATGGATTTTTTCTTTTTCAAAAAAAAAAAACTCAAAATTATTTTAAATGAAAATTTAATTTGAAATTTTCTTCTAGAAATGAAAAATTTAAAAGCAAAATTTTTTCAAGACATTTAATTTGTTCTGTTTCATAAAATTTTCACACAGACATTTTTAAGAATTTAATGCGGACTCAAAACAACAAAAATCTTGAGCAGATTTAAAATTTAATCCTTTTCCACTTCTTATTATTTTTTTTTTGTAGATGGAAAACGCTCATTTCCGATCTTACGCTTGAAATCTTTATAATGAAAAAAATACTCCGATAATAGTGCTCTAAATGAGATTTAATCGCTTTAACACTTTCTTAATGAAATTTAGTGTCTTTTGTTGTTTGAAGCTGTTTTTCAGTATTTCTTTGATGAAAGAGGATTTTTGTAGGATTTTCTCAATTTAATGAAGAAGGATAAATCGGAAAGAACTTAATGAGAAAAGGAACTAGATTGAATTGAGAATGTTGATAATTAAAATTCATGATTTCAAGTTTTTAAAGAGTTTTATGCTAGAAATTAAAGATTTTAAGTGTAAACTGAAAAAGTGTCTTCAATAAAGTTTCACAATAATTACAAGAACAGCCACTTTCACTTATAAAATTCCTCACATTCCTATTTACCCCCTCCCGTCCCAATACAATAACTTCAACATTAATTACCAGCATAACTATCTTGTCTTTGACTTTCAAATACCTTATTTACTCCATTTAGTCACTAACAACACAAATACAAATAAAACGTGACAAATGATTCCACGAGACTAGCATGGACAATGAAGTAAGCAAGAAATGGAAAGGAAATTCTTCCCTCGTTATTTTCAGAGTGTTTTTTTCGTTCGTTAATTGGAAAATTTCTGCTTTCCTTCTCAATAATCGATTCAATTACCATTAATTAAGTTTCCTTTTGTTTGAAGATTTTTTTTTCTTGGAATTTTTTTAAAGGAAGGAAAAATTGCTTTTAATT